GGCTGCATCACCCAAGCTGGGGCCTTGTGGGTGTTTGAAGGGCGCGGGTCTCTTGCCTTGTGACTCCGTGTGAAAAATTGGGGAGTGTGGCGCTGCCTCGGCTCCCCAGGGGATTTTGAGAGGGACAGGGAAGTCGCTGTGGGAGTGCGGGAGTTGTGTGTGCCCGCAGCGCGCGAGACCCGCTGTCACCCGCTCTTCGGCAGAAGCTGTCACTGGCGCTCGCCGAGCGAGAGACGGTCTAATTTCTTCCACGCGTAGCGATTTATTTCAGCAAAATCGTTCCTGATAGTATTTCTCGTAGCCGGGTGTATTTGGATGCGGATCCACACTGCTCTCTTCTCAGTCTTCTCATGAAACGTACCTTGCCATCACCCAGACCAGACTCCTACCCTTTTTCCCGCAGTTGTCCCCTTGCCCTGCGTTAACGAGACTATTACTCATGTAAAGATAAATGAGGAGCGCTTAGCTTTGGGCTTTTTTTTTTTTTTAATTATTATTTCTTTTTCCTGACTGTATGGGGTGATTTAAAAGAACAAACTGCTCTGTGGAGGGAGGTGTGTGACTGCAGAGCGTGGCGGTTCGTCCTTCCCCAGGTTAGCGCATCCCTTCGCACCCCCTGCCCGAAGTGAAGGCTGTGTATTGCGGCCAGAGAAGAAACCAAAATCCAACTTTTTCCTTTGCTGCTGACTGGGATCATCCCGAGCCTTAACTGCCGCAGGGGAAGGTGGCAGTGACCCCGGCACCTGTGGTAACGGCAGGGTAACGATGCCCACCCATGTTTAATAACTCATTTAGGAGGTATTAAACCTGCTCACGGCTCCAGCGAGGTTTCATCCTTGCCTGAGACTTTCCCCTGCCTTTCCCAGCTTGGGCTGGCAGGCCAGCGCCAGAAAACACTGCGTCCGTGTGATGTTGTGAAGGTCGTTTGCCCCATCCTACATCGTTCCCATCACCCAGAAATGTTGTTTCAGCGTGCCCCAAAAACTCTGGGTGAGGCCTGCGGGCATTTCCCATCGCCCTCCGGGCTGGCACTGTGTCCCCCGGCATCTTCCCATACCTTGGCCTTGCTCGTGGTAGCCATGACGATGGTAACCAAGCCAGTTTGGGATCGCTCTGGGTTTTTAATTAGGATCCGCTTAATTATTCTCCCATCTTGTTGCTGCAAGAGTGATGGGCAGCTGCAGAGTGTACCGAACACACTGTACCCGCAACCTGCCTTTTTTTTTTTTTTCCTTTGTTGCCCCCAAATTAATACCCACCAGTGGGTTAAATAAACATGTGTTTTTGTGGGTGATGTCTCGCCGTTGATGCGGTTCCAGGTTGCTGCTACGGCTCTGGGGTGCCAGGGGTAAAGGGCTTGGCTGCAGTTGGGCTCTGCCAAGAGGATGACGATGTTTCCCAGTTTTCAATGCTGACTGGAGGTATAAGTGGGTCTGTCTGGTGCCAGCTCCCTTTAATGTCCCTGTGGGTTTCTCTGGCTTTTTCATCAAAAAACTACTGACAGCCTTTTGGCTAATTTATTTATGGGGGTAACTTACAGACCTGTAACAGTCTCCTGCCCGTGTTTTAGGGACAGCAGCTGGTAGCATCATCTAAACTGCTCATCCCACGAGTCTTCGGGTCCCTGAGAGGTTGGAGGTGGGTAATACCTCTTTTCTAAAACCCGGAGACGACTTCCATACCATAAACCCCCCCAAAATGATGTTTAGACCCGTCGGTTTTGTGCATGGATTACAAATTAATGCCGATAGAAATGTGTTTGTCTGGGATCAACCTTCAGACACTTTTTCATCTCCGAAGATAAAGATACAGCTATCAACACTGTAATTGATTTTATTTATTGTCTGCAATATACACCGAGATTTAAAACTCTCAAGAAGCTGAAACTAGTAAACGGGGTGATAGAAATTCAAAAAGTAGTTAAATCCCAGCTGCAAGGAGTAAATAGAGTTTGTCTCTGGCAATACGTTGTGCGTCTTGTAACCCATCCCTGTAAAGTGCAGCAGGGCCAAAGTTGTAAAGGCTTGAAAAGATTCAAAGAAAGGGCTGTGAAAACAGAAAGACCTGTTATCTTTTGTCTGGAAGTATGTTTTTATGCCGCTATTCCTTCCCATAACTTATTTGCGTAGATTTTAATGGAAGAAAGCCTTTCTGTGTAGATGGTCAGATGTGGAGAGCTATTCCGATATAAATCAGATTTACTTTCGAAATAGTCAGGACACTGCTGCTTTCTGTGTCTGTTTTTCAAA